TGGCCCTAATCCTCTTCCTTAGCAATGAATCCTGCAGCAACAATCTGAATAATCTAATGAGACTAGTGTCTGTATATATTCATTGTTTACATGTTTGTCAGTGTTTGGTTGCTTTTTTTTTTTTTTTTTATTGTTTTTTTAATTAAAGGCGAATAAAAAGTAAAACAGTTTGAGTTTTGCTCCATTGAACTGAATCAAACATCAGAAACTTTGTGCAGAAAGCGAGCCTGACTGGATTTAGAGATGCATGTTGAAATAACTCAGCATACAGGATGTTATGTTACCTTCTCCACAGAGATTATTATGAAACCCTGAGATCATAAAGCCACTCCTCTCTCAGAGGACAAACCTGTCTGTCGACTGATTGTGCTTTTAAAAGCAGAGCTGCTAATCTAACTATTCCTTAATCAGGACAGTGATGACAGCTCCTATTGTTCACAGCTCATCCACTGCAGCTCAATGTTTGCAGAAACCCAAACTGCTCTGTTGTTCCTGCATCAAACTGAATGATAACCGCCTCTAACAAACCACTATAAGAGCAAATCCAGCTAATTTCATCCGCTGATCCTACCTGCTTATTGTTGACTTTTAATATGATAGTTCTAGTTCTTTCGCTTCCGCCGCGTTAACGCCGTAAATTCGGTGTGAAAAACCACAGAAACACGGAGCTAAACGGAGCTTCCAGCGAGATAAAGCAGGAGGACATGTCCGACATATTTCTGTGATTTGAACAAATAAAATGAAGGAATATGGACTCACTGTGAGCCGAGGAGCTGCTGCTGTTTGCCAACAGCTGCCATGTCTGTCGAAAAGTAACCACGTCCTGCTCCTGGATACGGTAAAACACCGCAACCGAGCCCCGTAAACACCTAATAAGGGCGCAGCGAGCTATACCTCTGCTGACCAGCAGGTGGGGCCAAAGAGCTGGGGGAAAAAATACTACTGTTAAAAAAAAAACACTGATCTCTATTTACTCACTGGATTACTGATTGCCCATTGGTAGTATGGGGTTGAAGTGAAGCCACTGGCCGCCATATTGGTACTCCCTTGTTAAACTGGTCTCAGTGTGAACAATATGTGTGCTACAGCGTCAAACAACGATGATGTTCTCATTTTCAGGGAGGCTTAACAATTTTAAAATAAAGATTAATTCATCACTTTGATCCACACTTGCTGTTTCATAGCATAAGTAGATTACTTTAATTTATAAGAAAAATAAAATGGGACATCACATTGCATAGTCATTATAAAGTCAATGAAATCTATAAATTATGTAATATAACACATTATAAAAATCCATCACAATAAAATTAATGTGTTTATGGAGCAGAATAATACAGATGTGAAAAGGTGCTAAATTGATAATGTGCAGGCAATATATATATATATATATATATATATATATATATATATACATATATATATATATATATATATATATTAATAAAGAGTTACTACATTTTCATTTCACAGTGAATTACTTTCTATTTACTCTACTACAGAGATGGGAAGTAACGAAGTACAAATACTTTGTTACTGTACTCAAGTAGA